AAGTTAAAACGTTTTTTATGTACTGCTCCTTTCCTTTACGACGCACGCGTTGTCAGTTAAAGGCCCAAAACGGGAGCGTTTGTCTAGGAGAGGCTAGCTTTGCTGACTGAGGTAATAATTGCGCAGAGCATTTGCATAGAGCATATCGTTTTTGCCTTGTGATTGCTCATTTGGCGAAGGTTGAGAAGATCAGCAGGTTTTTTTACTTACTGTGTCGACTGCCATGTCCGTTTCTTTGCTTTTAAAAGTTTCCTATGAACTACATCTTGTTTAAAAACGGAATTTTCCCGATACAGCAACTATACGTGGGTACACGATGAATGCCATTTTCCAGCAAACAATCCAAGTCTTACGGCTTAATCCTTCCCCACTGAAGAAAATTCACTTGTTGGTAAATGCTACTGTTAGTGAATTTTCGATGCAATACGTTTTCTATCGGACAAATTCGCAGTAGCTGCACATTACCTTGGACTGTACCCCATCACGTGCCAATCCCTTGTAAACAACTAGCATTTTATCTCATATTGCGCATGCAAAGTTCAGATTGGCAACAACCAAATGAAGAGCCCACATCCAACACTTTGAAAATATGATAATTTTTCACTCGTTCGGAGAATGGGGACCGCGGTTAGAAGTTATTGGAGATAAAAGAGCGCATCGGTTTGCCTTCAAAGAAAAATTGTGAGGAAGAATATTTCTGCAGCAACTGCTGCAAATGGATAACTTTGATTCTGTTTCTGACGAAGGAACGGAAGTAAAAATAGTCTTATCCCGTGCGAGTGCGCAGGCCATTACTTTGTGGTCGCGTTACACAACCGAGGGAGAGGTGCCGTTGCGTGACAAGACTAAGCAAGGGCTGTGGAGGACACTTCAGGAATTGAAACGTAGCACCAAAGCAGTATATTTTTTCTAACCAGTGGCAATACCATGAAATACGTGTGTAGGAGTAATATTGATAAAATTGGAAGGTTTGTTTTCTCCTCCACTATCGTATACTTTCATTAGCATCTTTTGAAAGTATATGATCTTTTTCTTTATAAAAATTCAAACATCATTAACTTAATCTCCCAATTCAAACCAACCATTCAAAAATCAAATAGCTTTTTGCATGCGTAGCATGCCTATGTTTTTAGCTAGTATGTTAAGAAAAAATAAACATTCATTTCTGTTAGAAACACAGTGGCAGTGACGTTACACTTTACCTCACATTTTATCATAAGTCGAAAATAGGTTAAAAATAACTTAAAAAAAAAAAAAACAAACAAACAGTCGATATGGACATTGTGATATTATTTAAAATAGGAGGATGGTTCCTGATTTGAGATTTAAAAGTACAAAACCTCCATGAGAGATCAGCATGCATAATTAGTTATCGTGACTATGCACGAAGATGAAATGGAAGATAATTGCAGTGATGGCTTTATTCTTAGGTGGCTTGACTACGTCCTTGCACGTATGGCCTACCACACGAAAATGTTCACGCGCAATTCTTCCGGAGAAGAGAGAATGAAGTTGATCCTTCGTGATATTGAAAGGTTGTGAGTTGCCGTAAGGATGGAGATGCATACGTCTTTCAAAAACGAGGCAGACAATGTTGAAAGTGCGCTGTCAAAATACCTTAAGTCTCTAGAGGTTATGAAGCAGTTTTCTTCATGGACATTGACTGTGTTCAAAATACTGAACGCGCGGGAAAATTTTTACGAACAGCGTACTGTTTACAGCGTGGAATGTTCACCTTTCGGTGTTATCTGATACGAATTTATAAAAAAAAACATGTTCTTTCTCTTGTAGCAACCACACAATGCTTTCTCCTCTTGAATTAAATTTTAAACACGAAGGCGCGCTATATAAGGAAGTCTC